ACCATTTTCACTAGACTTGAGTATAGCTTCACGTTGACAGAAGGCTATGAATTTTTGTGTGTGTGTGTGTGGTACACGGGCCTCTCACTGTTGTGGCCTCTCCCGCCACGGAGCACAGGCTCCGGACGTGCAGGCTCAGCGGCCATGGCTCACGGGCCCAGCCACTCCGCGGCATGTGGGATCTTCCCGGACCGGGGCACGAACCCGTGTCCCCTGCATCGGCAGGCGGACTCTCAACCACTCTCAACCACTGTGCCACCAGGGAAGCCCAGAAGGCTATGAATTTTTAACAGCATTCCCTGTGACTTGCTCCAGAACCTAACTATTCAAGAAAAAAATTTTGAAGTTGTAAAAGGTACACCTAAAACACTTTGAACAGAACATAAGTAACACGTTTGTGGTTTCATATATAAGGTCTTCTTTTTTCCCAACTTCTTGACAAACTTAATTTCATCTTAATTACATGGTTTTTGAAGATATTTGAACATGTTGACAGTTGAAAGGTTATAGTTAGATGAATGCTGTTGACAAAATAGATTTTACCATGATTCCAGTCATACAATTACCTGATTGTGATAACTTCTCTTTTTTTAGCAGCCTTATTAATCATTTACCTGGTCCATTGCAGAGGGTTCTTTGTCTTTCTTTGTGGAGGGAAGCGATGAGGCTCAGAGGCGACCTCTGTCTCTTTTGCATCTTCAGTGACTTTGACCCTTTTTCCTCCTCAGATTGTCTCTGGGCAGAACGTGTGCCCGAGTAACAGCACGGGAAGCCCATGTATAGAGGTCGATGTCCTGGGCATGGCCCTGGATAGCTGCCACTTCCGCACGAAGCCCATCCACCGCAATACTCTGAACCCCATGTGGAATGAACAGTTCCTCTTCCGGGTTCACTTCGAAGATCTCCTATTCCTTCGTTTTGCCGTTGTGGAGAACAACAGCTCGGTGGTAACTGCTCAGAGAATCATCCCCCTCAAGGCTCTAAAGCGAGGTAGAATCAAATTGTCCAAAGTTCATAATTGTAGCTGAGCGATGGATGCCCCGGGGTTCATTACACGCTTCTCTCTACTTTTGTATATGTTTGAAATTTTCACGTTAAAATAAGAGGCAGAAGCAAATAATACAAGTTTGAACACTGTTTGAGCATGTCTCAAAAGACATTTTTCTTTTACGTTATCCTAAAATCCGAAGTTATTGACAACGTCTGTTATGAAGTGCAGCCTCTCCCACTGTTGCTGATGGTAGGAGCGGCAGTCGTTGTGCTCTTGTCCACATACATCCCTCCCCAGGTAGTGCCCACCCTACCCCTGGCATGTTTAAAGCAGGGACTGACGTGAGGAGAGGAAACCGAGAAGAGGGAGGGTTGGGGTGTGCTGTGGCATGAGTGGGATGAGGTTGGAGTCAGTGCCTGGTGGGAGTCCAGTGTCAGAAGCCGGGGGTGGGTTTGGGTGCAGAGCAGGGAAGGTGGAGAATTCTGAGCAAAGGCCAGAGCTGCTGGCTTGCTGCATGTGGGCTTTGCCATGGCCCTTGGGGGAAACGTCAGCTTGTCGCACCTGTCCAGAACGTCTGTGCACTGCTTTCTCAAACTTTGATGTGCAGTTGAGCCACCCAGGCTCTTAGTAATAAAATACAGACCCTGATGCTGTGGGCCCGGGGCTTGAGATTCTGCCTTTCTAACAAGCTCCAGGGATGCTGACTCTGCTGACCTCGTTTGAGTACCAAGTTTCCAGGACATACTTCCTCCCACAGCCATACTCTGCCAGCCTCTGAGCACCACCAACATGTTACAGTCTCCTACTCTTTGGTTCTTCCTTGTTTCTCTTCTCCATTGTGTGAGTAGTCCGTGGTCACTGTGTTAGTCAGCTAGGGCTGTGTAACAAAATACCTCAGACTGGGTGGCTTAAACAACAGAGGTTTATTTTGTCAGTTTTGAAGGCTAGAAGCCCAAGATCAAGGTTTCAGCAAGTTTGCTTTCTTCTGAGGCCTCTGTCCTTGGCTTGCAGATGGCCACCTTCTTGTGTCCTCACAGGGCCATCCATTGGTCTGTGTGCACAGCATCTGGTGTTTCTCCGTGTCTGCTCTCCAGTCCCCTCTTCTTATAAGGATGCTGGTCATATTGGATTAGGACCCACCCTAATGACCCATTTTAACCCCATCACCTCTTTAAAGACCCTTTCTCCAGAGAGTCATATTCTGAGGTAATGGGAGTTAGGGCTTCAACATATGAATTTTAGGAGGACACCATTCAGTTCATCACAGTTATTACAGAAATATGACAAAGTACAGAGAAGCAAAAACATTTTTTTTTAATTATCCTTTTTTCCAACTCTTCAAAATAGTTACTTTTGGTATATATCTTTTGCAGGCTTTACACCTCTACCCATGTATATACATATTAGCATATAGTATAAATTTTGAACAAGCAAGCTTCCTACTAATCTTAGTGTTTTGCAACTTACTGGCTTTCACTTACTGATGTATGTAGTGATCAACTTTTCAGATTAATAGCTATACATCTTCATTACCACTTTTAAGAGCTGCATATTATTCCATTTTATACTTGCATAAATACACACCATAACTTATTTAACCAACCCCCTATTGTTGGAATATTTTATTATCACTAAAGCTGTTCTAAAATGGAATATTTGTAGAACAGTTATTCTAGATGACTTGATAAACAAAAATGATCAGGTTTTCCTACTATATTTGGTTTGAGTTTAAAATTTTCAGTTTGAGTCTAAGTTAAAAACAGACCTTGGACAAGTTAACTACCACGAGGTAGCCCCAAACTGTACCCTGGGGCAACACTCCTGGGGAAAAGGCATCAGTTGGTTGTCACCCCTGCCCATCTTAAAGTCTTATTTCTCCCTATCATTTACTGACCTCCCTGGGGGGTCTCCTTTGCAGAGCTCTGCAGTGCACAGCTAACAAGCTTTTCCCAATTCTGCATTGTTCCAGGATATCGACATCTTCAGCTGCGAAACCTCCACAATGAAGTCTTGGAAATCTCTAGTTTATTCATAAACAGCAGGAGGATGGAAGAAAATTCCTCTGGCAATACTGTGCCGGCCTCTTTGGTAATTAAGTTCTATTTCACTCAGCTTATTTGTGGGGATTGCTATGCTGGAGGCAGGCTTTCTTGTGGTCCAGGAATGTGGCCCATTTGAGTTATTGATTAGGTAGCTATGGAAATAATAATAATAATAATGGCTGACACTTGACACTTTCTAAGCACTTTACACATATACTAACTCACTTAATCCTTTCAATAACTTCATGTAATAGCTATTAGTATCATCTCCATGTTACAAAGGAAGGTAAGAGCTAAGTACACCTGAGGTCACACGGCTATAAACCCAAGTTCATCTAGTGCAAAAGCCCATACTCTGAACGAGTACACTATAGTGCCTACCAGGGAAGTGAGCCAAAAATAACAACGCAGGGAAAAGGCTAATTATGCAAAGCCTGCTAGGAAGCATCTTGATACTTCTGGAAAGTTTAGGTTAGACGAGGAAAATCCTTTGCTTCTTCAGCAGTCCAGGGGCAGACATCACAGGCGAGCAGGATCGGGTGAGCAGCCAGGCACTGCTGGCGACACATGACTGTGCAAGCATAGCAATCCCCTGGCACCTGGGGAGACACAGCATCTGCATTCTTGGGAGTGGGAGAGGAACACCGCAAAAAGGGCCACCTTTACAGGAGCTGTGTTTTAACAAGTCCCCTAGGTAAGGTCCAAGCCGTTGAACTTCGAGAACCATTGGACCAGCACTCACCCCAGTAATGCAGGGTTGTTTGCTTAAACGAGGAACTCTCTTTGAATTAACTGGTTAATTCCACTCTGCTTGCTCTTTAAAAATTAATATAAAAGGGTGTCCATCAATCGCCTCTTTACATGTTTAATAATCTATTCGTGGTTGCATCAACCTTGTACTTCAACAGGGTCCTAACAACCTTTGGAAAGGCGCCTTCTATGCTCACAATGGCGCTGGGCTTAGCCACTGCTGCTGCTACCTCTGAATAGCCCTGCCTTCTCCTCTGCTTCTCTTTTCCTTACCTCGACAGC